ACTTGATTGGAGAAAAATTTTATTTCCCATGACTTAGGGAAACCTACGGCTCATACCAAAAATTTTGGGAAAAATAGATATATTGCACGGCTAATGACCTTACTTGGGTGATTAATTATGATTAATCACTCAATTTTTTGTTTAATTATTTAATTAAACATAATACTTAATTACCAAAATTATTTCGGACGTAAACGGTACGCCGAAAATAAATTTCGATAATTTCGACTGGACTTAATTAATTCCGACAATAATAAACGATAACGTTACTATATCGGAATTAAACGTAATTTATACCGATAAAATATCGGGATATTACAGATTTTACATATTGTCAATCTATATTACAACACGTTATCAGCACGAGTACTCTACCATCTAAGCGAATAGTGGTGGCATCAAGACGAAGGGGCAGTCAAGGTATTATCTCATCAGTTTTCTGCTATAAGATCGATCAAGCCCGTATGATTATCAAGATCACAAATTATTTCGTCTTCTGCATCAAGTAAGTATTTCGTATACACTAAATTGTTTATTCAAGATGCATGATTATTATTTTGAATATATTATTTTGTGGATCTTTCTAGTACCTGATGTTTTTCTTCTTTAACTGTGAACAAGTGTGATGCTTAATGTTGTTTGATTTGAATACTTTGGGTTTAATGGGAATTTCGCAAATATATCAACTACTAGTATTCAATATATGTTTTACGGTCTGCTTATTATTATGATCTGTCAATTGATGTTTACAATTAATTTGATGTATGATCGCTTGACTGACTTGTGAATTTTTTTTTTTCGATCATAGTGGAAGCATAATTTGTTCGCACCAATTGACAGTCTTAAGCTATGGCTTATGATGAATTTTGTCCGCATATATATGTATATATATTTCGTGATTTCCGCATCTAGTATCTCTGGCATATTTACTCTCGAATTCTAGTTGCTTTGGGAGAATTATTTGCTGCACCATATTCTTATGATGTTGAGGCTGTGTAAATAATTTGCAATGTTTATATTCTATTTAGTATTTACACATGAGATTTATAATTTAGAATTGAGAATAAATCTTTGTTATGCCATAGCCTTTTGAACTCCCTATAGTGCCCCATGAATTGTTATGAATTACAATTTGTTATAGCATATGAATTATAGTTTGGCCGAGATGATTTGAAAATTTTGAAAAAATATTTGTGTCTAATGTTTTTAGTGCTACAAAAATTCATGTGATCTTATGAGTATGTCTATTTTGTATGAGAGAAAGATTATATATAAAAAAAAATAGTAGAAATATTGGATATATATTATTGATGCTACATAGTTCAACTTATGATCATCTTTATAATATGGTTGGATCAGAAGATAAAATTGTGCAATTATGAAATAGTGCAATATTATTAGCGAATATCTATCTATCCAAATTTATAAGGTTCAATTGAATACTAGTAGTCCCAGAAGGACACTAATATTAAATATTGATGGATAGAATAATTAGAACAATGTTTTACTTGTCGATAGCTTGTAAGTCGACAACGAATTTCTTATACACTCCCTGAAGGATCTTTTACAAGTTAATGATAATGTTTTTATATACTCCCCGATGGATCATCATCGACGTAAGTATCTCCCATAAATTCAAAATAAAGTTTTGGTATACTCCCTGCAGGATCAACACCAATACAAATATCAAAATAAAATAATGACTACACTGTGAGTAAGTCTTGATGACTAATTTTTAATTAAGATGATATTGAATATTTTATGATCTGTTATGAACAGTTTGTATTCCTGAAGTAATACATGAGAATAATGAAATCCAGCCAAATCAATATTCATGGACACAATATATTACAAATAGTGATATAACAGTAGTTTATTGAGATTGTATCAATGCCAGAAGCACATATATAAAAGTCTAATTGTCATATAAGATATCTGATAGAAGATTGTCTCTCTTCTATATGACTATATGTTTCCTTGGTTTAATTGTCTTATATGAGCATCGCTTGTTTGATATGCATCATATCATTCTTCACATTACTTGTTACGATTTGATAGTGA